CTGGGCGGTGTGTGTGTGTGTGGGGGGGAAGAGTCTCCATATCACAGGTTGGTGTTTGCGGGTCTTCGCCGGCTGCGCTTAACTTCCGCGCTGGCTGGTCTAAAGAAAGGCCTGTGAGGGGGGGGGTTGTTCCCTGTTTGGCCTCGCGACTCTTCCGCGCGGCGTGGAAAGGAGGGAGGCGTTGGAAGCGCGGCGCCCGCCCGCCCCCCTCCTCCTTTAGAACTGCTCGTTTAGGAGTTGACTGGTGAGGGTGTGGCGGGCCTTGGATTCAGGATCGGGCAGGAGCCTGATGGGCGGTATCAGAAGTTTTGGGTGCGTCTAGGCTGTGGAGGCCTTTTCCAGGTGTGAGGGAAAGAACCAAGCTCCAAACGCTAGACACGCAGTGGTAGGCTTGCCAAGTAAAGTGAAGGACCCATTACACAAAAGTGTATCACATCCAAGGTATAGTTTTGGATGTAGTTGCTGAGGGTGGCGCTGAAATACTCCTCTGTGGGTCAAATGCAAGAGCAGGGGAAATGTAATTGTGGGATTTGATTGCACCTGTGAATGCCTCCCCTTGGCAAGTGGGCCTTCTTACTCATTGAGTAAGAATGAGTAACATAACATCTGTCAAGGTTATTTCCTGTTTCTGCTTGTCTGTGACATATTTTTAGGGGACACAAACATTGATCGTGTAGCCTGAGTCCAGTTGGGCAGCAATGGATAGGACTCTGTGTTCCTAGTAATTTCCTACTAGGCTGAACTCTTACGGGGCTACTTTTTAAAATGCTATTTCTGACTTCCTGAAATATTCAAAATCAGTTACCAAGCTCTTTTGCTGTGAGGTCTTAGATAAACTTTTTTTACTATTTCAAACCATCTAGAATAACTCTTGGCACTTGCATATTACCTGTTTTTATTGTATCATATAGTATTTTATTGTAGAAGCCACTTATAAAAAAATTGGGCAAAGTGTGAGGTACTTAGTACGTTTGTTTCATCTTAAGCTATTAAGGTATGGCAGTGAGGTGAAGTTAAATGTGGAACTTTCTTGAATACAAAAGCCCCACATATTATTTAGAGGGCTAAGGAGTAATCTGTATGGAATATTTCATGGTGTGTCTGTATTACTTTGATATCAAATTCTTCCATTTTTTCCCCAACAGATGCACCCTGGTGTGGTCACTGTAAAGCTCTGGCACCTGAGTATGCAAAGGCAGCAGCTACACTGAAATCTGAGAACTCAGAAATTAGGCTGGCTAAGGTGGATGCCACAGAAGAGTCTGAACTTGCCCAACAGTTTGGTATTCGAGGATATCCTACTATCAAATTCTTCAAGAATGGAGATAAATCTTCCCCCAAAGAGTACACAGGTGAGATTATAATTATGATCATGACAATACTGTCAAAAGAGTTCTGGTAAGAAGCTTCCTTGAGAGACTGGATTTGGAACATAGATTAGAAGGCCATGGGTTTACCCTGCAACACAACAGTTATTATTTTATAGTAATTTACAACATTTCATTGTACTGCAAGGATGATTTCCAACAACTCAGTTATCATTTTGTCCTCCTTGACCTGTTGCCCATTTGTATGTCTCTTTTGCCAGTATAACAAGTCTTTGAATTATATATTATGCCATCATTTTTTATGTTTGGGGTGGCGTTTTCTGTAGTGAAATTTAAATTCCTTAACTTTGTTTGTAAAATTACCCAAATGGACAAAATTCTGTTGCATAAATTCATGCTGGTGTAACCTGTATCAGGCATCAAAAATACTAAATTTAAATTAGCAGAACGCTGCTTTTCCATCACTTTCACGTTTGGAGGCTCCCCGGGGTTCCCTTTTGCTCTCAGGAGGCATTTGGGAGCCTCAGGATGGGTGAGCCTTTACAGTGGTGTCGAACTGTGGCCCTCCAGATGTTCTTGGACTTCAACTCCCAGAAGCATTCACCACCACCTCTGCTGGCCAGGATTTCTGGGAGTTGAAGGCCAAGAACATCTGGAGGGCCACAGTTCGACACCACTGCAAAGATTTGCCACTGGATCTTGATAATTTGTATCTCTATGTTGCCATTCCACAGTTGACTCTAAGCTTGATTTGTTTCCCACCCCATCTGCTTAGTACAGCCTGTCTCTTTAGCTATCTAAAACTTCAGTTCCTCATTTGCATTCCCTAAGGGGATAGCATGCCAGGTATTGTATTCAAAACATTTCCTGTGACTGTATTGTCTGTGTCAGCTTTGGTTGTGCCTTTTCCATTAGTATCAGCAAATAAGAATATTAGGAAAATTCTTTATATTGCCAATTTCAAGTAATTGTGGCTAATATTGTATATTCATCTGTAATTATATTTTTTTAAAAAACTAAAAAGTCACTGAATGAAATAAGGGTTTTTTTTTTCCTGCTATACATTATCTGTTAGACAGTAGATTTGAAAAGGCTGTCTTAGGTTTGCATGTGTAATGGACAGTTTTCTGAAGATGTCTTGAAAATTCAGAGTAAAATCACAAGGTCCTAATTACTGGAGAAGAAAGCTTGGGTTTGCACCTTGGTACCCAGCCTTCCTGCTCATTTTAGACATGGAGGGGGTATTTTCCTTGTACAGTGGGGTCTTGACTTGAGAACTTAATCCGTATTGGAAGGCAGTTCTCAAGTCAAAAAGTTTGCAGGTCAAATCTGCATTTCCCATAGGAATGCATTGAAAACCATTTGATCCATATCTGCTCTTTTCCGTCCATAGAAACTAATGGGAAGCTGCTATTCCGCCTTCGACCACTAGGGGGGATATTTTGTTTCTTTTTTCTTAGGTCAAGAAAGGTTGAGGGAAGGCAGGGAAAATACATTCCAGGCAGGACAGTACCAGGCAGTCTGAAGACTGTCTCCCAATCCACTCTCTAAACGCTGGGAGGAGTGAGGAAGCAGACAGGCACCCTTTTCACTGGCCAACAGTTAACTGAAAGTTCAAATTTTGCACTTTCCCTGCCTCCCACGTGGGGTTTTTTCAGTTTGTAACTCAAATCTAAGTATGTAAGTCAAGTCAATGTTTTCCTATGAGAGCGGTTCTTAAGTCAAAATGTTCTTAACTCGAGCCGTTCTTAAGTCAAGACCCCATTGTAACTGCATTGGGGTTGTGAGGTCACTTGACGTGCCGGAAAAAGTCAAGTAGTTGCTGCTCCCCTCCTGCTTGAAACTACAAAAAAGAGGCAGATGATTTTTCTTGACTATATTTTTGGTTGGTCATCAGTAGCTGGCCAAAATTGGTTGACTAGTGGCTTGTGAGGGTAGAGTGAGTGGCTGATATTGGTGATGTTTAGTTTCTGTAACTTGACAGTAAATTCAGAATTTCTGTCATACGCATATGTAATGTTGATAATACTGCTTGTGTGTGTGGAACCAGCTGAGTGAAAAATTCAGATATTAGTAACATCTAAATTTGCAGAAATCTGAGCTGACATGTATAGCCCAAGAGCAACATGAAAACTTGGAATTACAAAAATTATTCAGTTTCTGGGTCTTCATATTTAGTTTGCCAAATCTTGTTGTAGTAGCATCAGTGTCCCTCATGTTTCTTCGCGAAAACTGTATGCTAAAATATCTTCAGCACTACTGCAGCCATATTTTCTTTGTCTTTCTGCTCTCTCAAATTATTGTGCCTTCTGTCTAGAAAACCCCCCCTTGATACACACATACAAATGGATTGCATTTGTGGGGTCACCACCTTCATTTAGGTTTTTCTACAATCACCATGTTTTCTTTGACACATTCATAGATTTGGGGTTGAGGTCAAAATTCTTAAACAACTCGCATATTGATGTAAACCATTCAGAGGCTATCTAAAAGAAAATCATGAATAGGTGCATGTAGATGTCTGTGTGCATGGGAGAATGAGATTATAAACTTGAGGGGGAAAATGGCTGAAGGAAAAGAGGCAGCTCTGACCCTGTTAGCCATTGATTCAGTCCATGGCATCTTGCCCTGAGAGTATTGACAGAGACCAGTTCAATTATTATGGTTTTAGACTGCTCAGTAACAAAAAATAAAAATATTTTACCTAGTACTTGGCAACCGAGGCTATGCATTCCTCACATGTAGAACAACCACTGAATAGACCTGTTAGAACTATCCTCATTGTTGCATTTGACAAGAGCACCTAGAAGAAGCTTCCCTGCAGATGAACTCAGGCTCTCCCCACTCCTGTGTTACTTATTAACATTGCTGTTCTGAAAGTTCCATTGGAATAAAGGAGAGTAGCTCTCCCCCGCAGCTGTGCTTTCAGTTGTTGGAACCAGGTTTCATCAGATACTTGGCTGTAGTGGGTCGGGGAGATAAAACATGGAGTTCCAGATTTTCTGGTATGATGGCTGATTAACATTCCTCCGGGGATAAGTATGTAAAATGGCCCCTTCTCAGTACTAGAATTCTAGTGTCTGTTCCAACTGTTGGGCAAGTACGGTTTGCCTATATGAAGATAAGTATCTCATCTTTTCTCAAAAAAAAGCATTCTGTAAAGCACCTCTGAGTGTTCTCAGACCTAGCAGTTAACTGAATATGAAATATTGAAGTAGGTGGACAAAGGGTTCAGCCTACACTTTCCTCTTTTAAAAGTTGTGTGCTGAAGATCTCTATAATTGCGCTAAAGATCCTGCATCCTCTCTAGCTAAGGCTTGTAATGAGGAAGGCTTGGAGCTCTTTATGTCATCCTTCCCAGAGGATATGGAAAAGACTGGGTGAAGTTAGTGGCACTGTGACTTCCTGCTTGCAAGAATCTCTACTTGAAAATGTTGCCTTTTCATGGGCAAGAGTCATTTCAGTTTCTGCATGACAGACTTTTTTCAGTAAGGAAAGTTGCGGCTTAGAACTATTTCTGTTGTATAATCAACTCCAGACGTGCATGGACAGATAATGTCCCTCCTTTTTTTTCTTCCAAAGATACTAAATGGTATACAGTTGGCATTTAGCCAAATTGGAAATACAGGCTGAAGTTTTGCAAAGTTAACAAATTTCTTTATTGCTATTGAGCCAAAGAACAACAGAAGCTATTTTTTAAAAGGTCCTTTCTTCTTAATCTACATAGCTCAGTGAGGTACTTTAGCATGAAACCTGTTTGTCTGATATAATATGTTACATCACTGATACGGTGACCAAAGTCTAAATGTAGTTGAGCCAGCCTGGCCCTTGGGAAACAGCATGCTATGAAGTATGAATGCTCTGTGGAGTATTTTAGTTCAGAGTAGGTGTCATGTGAGCTCAACAGCACCTTCTGCTGGCTACTTGGTTGTGAAAGACAAAGAGGTAAGAGAATACAGTAAATGGAAACAATGTTTGCTAAATTTATAGATTTACATGATTTTTACTGATGAATTTTCAAGGCCTGCAAGATTTCCAGCTAAATCAAGGTGTGCCCTAATGGTCTCCTATAATTTCTGGGAAATGTGTCAAGTTTCCTTTTAGGAAGGAAAGCATACATGGAGAGCAAGCTTAAAAGGGCAGCATGACTGGTAAGAAGCTTTTAACAGTCCCATCCAGTGCTTCAGATTCTTGAAACAGCAGTTTATTTATTTATATCCTGCCCATCTACTCAGTTGACCACTCTGGGCGGCTAACAACACTTAAAAATAAAACAGTTTATAACAAAATACAATATTGGCAATCAATTGTTCTAGGTGGAAAAAATAAATCATATAGTGGCTGGAGGGAGGGCCTGCTTAAACAGCCAGGTTTTCAATTGGCTTTTGAAAATGCCCAGCGAAGGGGCCATACGGATCTCAGGAGGGAGTTTATTCCAAAGGCGAGGAGCCACTGCCGAGAAAGCCTGGTTTCTTGTTTTTTCCTTCCAGACTCCTTCGGCGTTAGGCTCCTCAACCTCACCTCCTGACTAGATCGAGTAATACGGGTAGATTTTGGTGGGAGTAGGTGTTCTGCCAAATATCGAGGCCCTAAACTGTTTAGGGCTTTGTATGTAAGGATCAAAACTTTGAAATCAACGCAGAACCGAACGGGCATTCGATGCAAAGCGGCCAGAGTGGGAGAGAGATGATGGTATTTTCTCACCCCACTAAGGAGTCTGGCTGCCGCATTCTGCACCATTTGAAGCTTCTGCATCTTCCGTGTCAATCTCAAAGGGAGCCCCACGTAGAGCGCATTACATTGGTCTAATTTTGCGATTACAAGTGCATGTACCAAAGTGGTGAGCGCCCCAACATCAAGATAGGGACGCAGCTGGGCAATCCGCCAAAGATGGAAATAGGCGGAATGGACCACTGACACCACCTGCGTTTCCATGGTGAGCGCCGGGTCCAGATGGATCCCCAAGCTTCGAACCTCACTCTTCACAGTGAGAGTCACTCCCCCAAATGAGAGGAGTTTCACAAACTGCTGATGGTGGGGCTACCCACCCTCAGGACCTCCGTCTTGTCCGGGTTCAACCTCAGCCCATTTTCCTGCATCCATTGCAGTACAGCTTCCAAGTAGCGCTGAAGGGACAGAACAGCATCCACTGCAGTTGGTGAAAAGGAGATGTAGAGCTGGGTGTCATCAGCGTACTGATGGCACGATGCCCCACACCCCCTGATGACCCCACCCAGTGGCCTCATGTAGATATTAGACAGCATTGGGGAGATAATCAAGCCCTGCAGCACCCCACAGCTGAGGCTGCACGGGGCCGAGACTCTCCCCAAGCTGTACTCTCTGAGGGCAGACCTCCAAGAAGGATTGGAGCCAGGTAAGTGTCAGGCCACCAATTCCCAACTTGGAGAGCCTCAGGAGGATACCATGGTCGACGGTATCAAAGGCAGCTGAGATATCGAGGATTAAAATTAAGTTATCTTAATTTAGGGCAATATGTACTATTTACATATTGGTAAATGGCTAATCTTAAAAAAAAAAAAAAAAAAAAAAACTCCACACAGCAGAAAACAAGCATTTCTCATTATCTGAGGACTCTGCTGAAAGCCACAAGAAATTTCTTGCAGCTGAGGAAGGGAAGAATTTCAGTTTCTGATCCTTGTGAGAATGAGACAAATTGAGGTTTTAAATCCCTAGGTAAGAGAAGGTGACAGTTGTTTGCCTGCAGAGTGGGCAGTACTCTTGCTATCAAATTGAAGCAATAATGGGTTTTCTTTTGCATTATCAACTTTACTGCTCCATCCTGAAAGTGGAAAAGATTATGATGTGTCATTTTTTCCTAATGTAGCTGGCAGGGAAGCAGCTGACATTTTGAACTGGTTGAAGAAACGCACAGGCCCAGCAGCCACTACCCTGTCAGATGTAGCTGCTGCCGAGGATCTAGTGGAATCCAATGAAGTTGCTGTGATTGGGTTCTTTAAGGTAGTTTTTAAATCTAGACCAGAGGTGGGGAACTTAATGCTGCCTTAATGTTTATATTAATGGCCACAGTTCTTTGTGGGACAATCTATGGAGGGGGAGAGCTCATGTTCAGAGGGTGGGTAGGGCTACCCGTCTCTCTCTTTCTGCTTCCCTCTTTTCTCTTTACACAGCTAGGGGAGGGAGAGATCCCCTTTGCAAGTGGCTCAACTGATAGCTTTCAGAGAGCTTTTGAAAATTGGGCTGTAAGCTCATGAACTTGAACTGTGGGACACAGGTTGCACTTCCCTACTCTAGGCCTGTTTTTACTGCTGCCTTAGCTGCTGTCTTTTAGGAAACTAGTTTGAATATTGTGCCAGTTTTCCTACTGCTTCTTGGGACTTTGTAATTGGTGGATTTGCAAGATGAAACAAATCAGGTTATAGTGTGGAATTTTAAAAGGACCTTTTCCTCTCCTCTATTAGGATGCAGAATCTGATGTTGCCAAGCAATTCTTGTTGGCAGCAGAGTCCATTGATGACATTCCTTTTGGGATCGCTTCCAGTAGTGATGTCTTTGCCAAGTACCAGCTCAGCAAAGATGGAGTTGCCCTTTTCAAGAAGGTAAGTGTCTGAAAAGATTGCCAGTTTGTCTGGCTGCATTCTGTGAAGTTAACGGCGCTGCTTTTGCCACTATTTTCTTATCTGTGCAAGAAGAAACTGGCAGCCTCTTAAACCTTTTTCTTTTGGCATACTTCAGTACCAATTTCCTAGACAGATCTTTCTTTTTAAACTTCTTTGTGTTGTAAGATCACATGGGTTGCAACTAATTGAATCTTAGTTCCTCAAAGAGTGGTGATTTTCCTATAGTAGAGGACAGTCTCAAGTGAGAGCTTGTCCCTGTTACTTCTACAGGCAGAATCTCCAATTGGCTGGCACTAGGGCTCCCTTAAGAGAGAGGGACCAACCTGGCCTGAACTACAGTAGTTACTGTTTCTGCCTCTGCTTTGCACAGGCTTACCTTATATTTAGCTCACCTCTTCCTCTTCAGTCTTGAATGGATGTGTACCTGTAGTGAGTAGGTGAATCTCAGTCTGGACCCTAGGACATTAGGCTTTGGTAAATCCCATCTCTTGAGGGTATCCTACTCTGTTACAGGAAAAGGGAACATTGGTGCTCACAGTGAAATGTTCCTTTATGTAATGGAAGGGGGACATCTTCCCCCTCCCTTGAGTTATTATGAAGGGAACTTACAAAGTCCATTTTTCTCTACTGTTCTGTCTGGTTTAATCTTCTTCCCTTTCCTTTTTGGTGGCTAGAGACAGACTAGTTCAGCCCAAGTTGGTCCCTCTCTCTTAAGGGAGCCCTAGTCACCTGATTGACTATCAGTTCTTCCTGTGGAAGTGAGTAGGTGGGACAGCCCATCTCTTGAAGATATGTCCCCTTTCTGCTACATAAAATCAGTGTTTCATGGTGAGTACCAATATTCCTATCTAGTGCAGTAGAATGATTGAGACGGCATACTGGTTTTATTTTGCAGTTTGAAAAAAAAAACTAAATAGGCAATATAGCTTTGGGTAATAGTAGTGTAGTCATCTGCAGCAAGAATGTATGTGGTACTATGATCTTGTTCTAGTGAGTGTACTTGCGAAAGCAGGACAGGAAGAAGTACCACGATTGCTTTGTCAGTGAGTTCATATAGTTATATGGCCTGTTAAGATGTTAACATCAGGACAGGTGGTAATAGTGTGAGGAGACATGTGCCATATGAGCATTGCTTGATGTTAACATACAGACAAGGCAAAAGGTCACTTCAGATTTTCAGAGAAGACTGGCCCATGGTGGATCAGATCACCAGAATCCGTTGTCAAAATCTACAGGGCCCTTGGTGTAAGAAAAATTTAGGGGCAGTAAAGATATTTTTAGAAAGCTATGACAGTGTGCTTAGAAAAATCCTTAAGTGATCCTTTACAGAGCCTCTTGTCTGACAAGAAACCAGGATAGTCTCTTCCTGTAAAGAAAAGTTGTTTGCTGATTGGAGGACCTGCCATGCTGACTTTAAGGTTGCAGCCGCAGCTTCTCATGGATCTGTGCACACAGGAGCAAGTGTGAGGTTTTGGTAACTGAGCAAGCTCTGCTTCTTCCATCTGCCTTTGCTTCTTTAAAGACAGGTGTATCTTGTGATTGGAATCTTTGCTACCTGGGATGTATTTACATGTCTCCTGTGCTTCAAGCAGGATTTTATTTCAAATGCCTGGTATATTTCTTTACTTAGGTATTTGGTACTGCATACGCTGTTCTTATACATTTTCAAATCAGTTCAGACACTTGCATTTGTAATTGGCCTGTACATCAGTGCTGGTCACAGCTTTTTCCTGAAAGTGGGGGAGAAGGAGCTTTCTGATCTGCTAGGCTTGTGCCAGTCAGTGATGTGCATTTTGGACTTCTAAGGAACAGAAACAAATTCCTCTCAACTAATCTCATTCTGCCAGACCAAAAAGCATTGAATAGAAGCTCATAGCAGTATTTGTTCTGAATAGATGAAGTGATGAAATGAAATCTGTTTGGATTCTCAATCTGGCAGGCTTGGAATTCACTACTTTACTGTATATTCTGAGGAGCATGCTTCTTTTCCTCTGTTACAGCTATATGTTGGCTGTTTTTTGTTTCAGGTTAAATACCACTTAACTAAGTTAAACCTTAGAATGTTGGTCATGAAGGTTAAATGGACGTCCTTAATTTGCTTGCATTTTCTTGTGTGATTCCCAAAAATGTTATGGTAGTTATATAATCTGACCTGCCTCCCCCGCCCCAAAATGCAAACATTTATGTGGGAATCGAAGTCTGAAAGTTACTCAAATCTGATACCTGCATTTCCAGTAGGTGTGTTCAGGGCAGTTGTCTTTAATGGCTGGATATTACCAATTGCACATTGAGTCATACCACTCAGCATGCAACCAGTAATATGTATGATAATTTCTTAGTTTGGGGCAATTTACCTCCAAAGATTACGCCACTTGTGTGCTCCGTCAGTATAACTAGCTAAGAGAATTTGGGACATTATCAGGCTTTTGTATTCTCATGTGATTCAGAACATCAGTAAAACTTTCTTGGTTTACTTTTTTCCTTCCTCTCTCTCTTATGCTTAATTTTAACGAAACTTAATTAGATGCTGAGATTTGCTTGCCTGCATACAAATTCTTAAGGATCAGTCCCATATGTACAAAATCAGTCAGCATGTTTAATCCAAAGAAGACATATGAGAAATGGGTAAATGTGACCGTTGTAGCTGGTAATTCTTCTGTAGGGAAAGCAGATCCTTCCCTCTTGTGCTTCATTTACAGCTATTTAAAGTAAGTTGAAATGTTGCATACTAGCCTGCCTTAGAGGACAGCCATATGTTGTTTTCTCTGCAGATACTATGCTCCCTTCTTTCCAGATATTGATAGGTTGGATTGACACAGACATGTCTGTTTAAGTTAAGGCAGGACTTAAAATATTTCTGAAGTTAAATGAAGAGAAAAGCAACTTTATACTGGTTTGTAGTGGTCCTTGAAGATTTTAACCTATCTATAGCTACTTTGTATGAGAGAAGTGGTATGAGAAAAGATTTGACTGAGTCTTGGTTCATCATTCCAGAATCACAGGCTAGGAGGCTTTGCTCAATGCTTCAGGATGTAGTTCAACTGGAAAAAGAAAGCATAATTCTAGAACGTTCGACTTGGGTGTGTCAGATGGGATAAACTGAGACCTGAACCTTCCCTAAGAGTCCTAAAACGTTATAAACATCCAGAGAAAAATCAAAAGCCTATATTCACCTTCATCCCAAAAAGATTAACTCCAAAATGGAACAAAAATATTGACAATCATATCGGAAGTCATCAGCATATCAAGATACGTTTTTTTCATTGTTGTAGTAATTCCAGGCTATATCAGCTTGTCTAATTCTACAAGTTTTATCTGCATTGCTTCTGTGTTCCATAAACAAAACACTTCAGAGTTGTAACAATACAAAAAAAAAATCTTACAGCTATGAAGAAACTGTAGAAACAAAAACACTTAAAATATATGAAAAAACTTAAGTTGTAGACAAATACTTAAGTCAATCTAAAATACAGGAGCAAAAGTACAAAAAATATAAAAAATGTTCCAAGTTACATTCTAAAAGTGCAAGAGCTTATGACCTAAGAAGGCATATATAAACAACAAAAGGTAGAGAATAAATCTCTAACACCAGAGTTAAGACTAAAATGTATATTCAAGAAAATGATTTTCTTGGCATCTAAGCATATTAAGCACATACATGAAAATCTGCATTAAGTGCTCACCCAGCCAAACTAGCGGCGTGCCAGTTTATGTCAATGGAGGAAAATGCATTATGATTGTTGGGAAAGAGAGCAACGTGAGTGGGAGAAAAAGGTGTGGGAAAATCGAATGGCTTGTTAAATAGGTCAACACCTTATATTCTGTGGGGTTAAATAACTGACTCCTTAGGAGAGTTTTGTTGGGTATCCTGTTTTGCATGTGAAGTAGCTATACCATTCAAATTTAGATTTAATACTGGGATTCAGGGTGCATTTCTTTTATTTTGTTTTATCTTGATATTTGTTAACTTCATAGTGCTGCCAACAGACATAATTCTCCAGAGTCAAAGTACAGTATCAAGTTGTTGGGAGTTTAAGGTGCTTATTTACAAACCTTGAAGCTGCTGCTAAGTTAACAAGACACCTTTATCGCTGGCTTAGTCGCTCCCACTCTTCCGTTCAAGATTAATTGCAGCAAGGAGTTTTTGCTACACTTGTAGCTCTGAGTTGGTTTTTTTTTTTTTTTTTTTTTGGTAGCTAGTTGTTGAAAAGAAAAGGCTGAACTGTATGGGGGGGGTAAACCTACAGATCGAGCAGGGAGCGGCCCCTTGCAAGGGCGGTGAAACAAGTGAGGATCGATGAGTTTGTAAAATCCAACTGCCCTGTCAGTAACCTTACTATATCATCACTAACAGACTTGCTTTATTGAGAAATGAAACCCTCTCGTCCCCACTGGGCGCTTGTGACTTATCTGCAGTTTCTACCCCTTGCACCCCCCACCCCCCAAGAAAGTACATTTCCCCTCTGAAGGAAACTATCCCAACTTTCTAGCTGAACAATGTCTCTTAACAGCTCAAACAGTAATAGCCATCTTCAAAAACTTACAATGGGTCTGCAGTCAAATGAACTCAGTTGAAAGTGCCCTGGGGAAACTTGCTGAGACCCTTCTTCAATCAACAGATAATACACAAACCAGAGGGTTCAAAGAAAGGGGAGTTGGTAGATTTAGCAGTAAAGACAGCATACAACAACTGGCTCTACCACAATTAGCTTCCCAAATGAAAAGGGAGACAAACTCCTCAAAGATCTTTTAGAGCACTCAGGTGATATTGTAAATTGCTCTAGTTAACATCAACGGAAAGAGATGAGACACACACAGATCAGTGATTATCTCCTTGAGTCAACTGTTAAATATAGAAGCACGGAAGATAGACCTCAAGAATATTCGATGGCTCCTGCACAAGTATGGTCATAAAAGAATTTGTCTCAACTTTGAACATGCTGTGATCCCTCTCATTCTCCTAAAAATGAGAACTTATC